TCTCTCTCTCTCTCTCTCTCTCTTTTTCGCTTCAGCCGCACACCCACGTGCCACGCGTCCTCTCATTCTATTCTCAGAACGACGAGATGAGCAAAAAGGACAAGAGAGGAGAAAAAGGCTGAAAGAAAACTAGAGGAAAGAATTGATACATCTCTCATCGTGAGTGCGATTGTTCGTTTTGGGTTAACAATGGAAAAGAGCTGACGTTTGGAAATACCGAGATGATGTACTCCACTGATGATCCTTGAGAAAACAATTTTTACCGGCAGTTTATTTGGTAAAACCTATGTGATGCACTCGGCGAATGAAATTTTCAATGTGAGGTTATGTCAACAGTTGATGCTTGCTCAACTTTTTCAATCTCAAACGTTGGAGTATTGATGGATCACTTGTTCATCGGTTCTTCTCCATCTCGAGTAAACATTTGGGAATTGGGCATAGCTGACCCCTCATGATACTCGTTTTTAGTTATTGACTGGTCAATTTTTTTTATTCGATGTTTCGTAGTGTTTGCTCGTACTTAACTTATCACTTTTTATCTCTCAGTGTCATCCCCAACTTATTGAGTTATTCATACGAATTAACTTATTTCTACAAGTGGTCATTTCACAATTCACGACGAGGAGTAGCCGGTGTTGAATCCCACAAGACGTGAACGTAAAATTGAACTTGTGGAAATTATTTATGTAACTTGATTGCCCGCAGATGCCACTTGCCCATCAAACACCATCAATCGGCCATCAAACGATTCCGTTAAATTTTGAAGAGATACCATAACATGGGGTGCTAACCAGACAAAACAATGTTTAAACGATTTATACGTACCGTATAACCGTCGTACGTCCACGAGCCGAACTTCATGAAGCACGTTTGCTCGTCGAATGGAAAATACTCGACATTGATCTCGCAGAAGGACTTGTATATTGCCGGCGGTTTCCATTTCACTTTGCCAGAGTGATGCAGAATCGCCTTGGTCATTATCGTCACCTCGTAATTGCCGTCGGCACTGGAAATTAACAAAGGAAGAGAGTTATTTTGATGAACTAATTGGGTTTGATCTTGGGGCATTGCAACTATTATGGATGGTCAGGGGAATCGATTTGCGGGAGTGTACGGACAATCTTCAATGACCTCATAACGTATTGTCGGCCACCTCTTGATCATCTATTTGTCGAGATGTTGGTGCATCAATAGATGTTGGTGAATACAAATTTGGGAATTTGAGGGGTGATTTGGAGGGCTTGGGAGGGGGGGCCTTGGGTCCAGGGACACATCTAAAATAATAATGCCTTATTTTTGGATGTCAAAGCGTGAAAGCCTCAACTTGAAAGCATAATCATCAAAATAAAGTACTTGCTTATTACTTCGTTACATACAAAATGTAAAATATAGTTGTTTTCATTTCATTTAAATTTGAGAAAGACGAAATATCCTTCCAAATTATCCAATAAGACATAATCATTGCTCTCCAGACAGAATGCTCGTCTAATTTCCCACGATCTGAACTTCGCTGATGATAAATATGAAGATTAGCATCAACATAAATATGCTACGAAAACTGATTCGTCGGAAGGCAGATTGTTGTTCTTCCCTCGTAAAATGATATTCATCCCCAAATAGGTGATTCGTCTCGATGCACCCCAAAATCCGCGCAACGACATTGACTTCATGAACAGCATTGAAAAAACTTCGGCTTCAACACCGGCAGCTACAGATTCACTTTTTTTTACCCTCAACAGATAAAAATTCCGAGGGTGGCTCAGTGGGTGCGGTGTGTCTCGTTTCAGGAAAAAAAATTCTGCCGGATGTGGAAATAGGAAGGGAAGAGAAAGTATAAGGCTCTCCTCCATTTTTATCGCTCGTGCGAGAACGAGCATAAGGCGCGCGATATATCATCGTGATGGCGGAGAACTGGAGGGGGTGGGTCACGTGGTGAATAACGCCGGGCAGAGGGGGGGGGGCGAAGGCTGTTGGATCGGCCGAAAGTTGGAAAATTTAGCAGCGTCGTTCCTAGTGGGAGACGCGGCGGGTTCCATGCTCCCTTAAAGCCGGGAGATTTAGTCTGCCACGGCTCTCCTGACCCTGGGGTGGGGTCGGCTGTGTCGTGTGGGGGATCGATATAGTACGTGGATGTGGTATCTCCGTTTTCTGGGAATCGGGAGGCAGGACTTGGGGGTCAAATTTCACGGGGGGGTCAGTGTGTTTGAGGGTGAGTGGGAAAGACGGGTCGGGAGCAGGTGGAGACGATGGGAGAGGAGAATAGGTCGATTGCGCAGGGAATGATCACTGCTAGACATTTTTTGCTTCCGCATGGAAACATTGTCATTGTCAAAATTTACGGTTTGGATTTTTTGTGTCATGTCCACTTACAATGATTCAAAAATTCCGATTATGACATTTCCATATTTTTGAATTTTGGAATTTTTTTTTTCAAACGGTGGTGCCATCATAACTTGAGAAAATGTCCTGAATTCATTGAATTATTCTCCAAATGTGATGTTCCAAACTCATTCCATAATATAGGTAGCACCATTCTTCCATTCAATTTACAAAAGATCTACAGAATCCAGCGAAAATTTTCCAACTCAGTTTATTCTGTTCTTTATGATTACATAGTGGTAAAAAGTCAATTGGTACTCTCAATATTTTTTATCCTATCTACAACCGAGCGATGCAAAAAATAGAGGGTCATTCCCTTTAAAACCCCCCAATTTTATGGCAATCGAAATTTCATCGTGATCAGGAAAATACTCGTGAATTTTTGTCTCCGAAAATTGTACGAGAACTGGAAAATTTTCCATATGCAGAATTCAAACGAGTTTGATACACTCCCCCCTGTTTCCTCCCTATCGCCATAAATACAGACAACCCTCATATGTGTAAAAAAATCATAATGGAGGAATGGCTGTCGACTCAGAGAAGTCTGCACTCACCGATATACACGAAAAAAAGACGGGCTATAAAGATGAAATGGAGAACCAACACACATACACTAAAAATTGAAACATTTTCGCTGTGTCGAGACTATTAAACTCACGAGTGTAGTGGGAAATGTCGGAGATAAAGCGAGACAGCAAATGTATACATCAAGTGTTGGGTATATGTTCCAGTGAAATCGATGTAACAGCATTGCCATGCGGAAACGTTGGCGCGGTGCCGTTGACAGGACGATACGAGGCAAGAAAACGTGGGATGCAACCCTCCCAGCCAGTCCTTGGGTGGAGGGAGGAGGAAGAGCCCTCGAGTGTACTATTGTCTTTCATTTACTGCTCAGGAAAAAGAATAACCAAGTTCAGGTTGAGCTGAATAAAAATACCGGGAAGGCGTGGAATATTTTACGAATAAAGTGATGAATGTGAGGAAATTAAGTCTGTTTTTTTTTACGGGAGAAAGTTAATCTGATGTTTACAGTCCTATACGTTTGATAATTTTTTTTTGAAATGCGATGGTAGAAATTATTCAGACTCAGAAACCGCAATTTTTTTAGTTGAATACATAATTTGACGCAAATTGACATTTTATAAATTATTTATGAAAAAGTTGGTAACGTCCAAAAATTTTTGATTTTCTCCTCATTTTGAGAATAAAAATAAATGTTTTTTCAATTTTTGGGACAGCATTATTTTTTTATATGAAAACATTTGACAAATATATGCTAATGTTAAATTGATAATAGTGCCCAAGCCGTCGACCAGAGACTGGGGGGAGCGAGCGAAGCGAGCGGGGGGCGTGGCCTCCCCGCAGTCGGCGAGCGAAGCGAGCAGGGGGTAAACCCCCCTAGTTTTAAATACCGAAAAAAACTCAATATTGCTGAATAAAAAGAAATAATTTCTGGAAATTCCGGAAGACTGCTTGAAGAAAAAAAATTAAATGTTATTGGAGGTCGTCGGTTGTGAAAAAATATCAGCATCGTTGATCTTTGAACTGTTGGCATTGCCGGGAGTATGAAAACCGTCAGTGCAGAATGCGGCGAGCCTCCGCAATTCCGGAGTTCTCCCCTCCCCCTATTTCAAGTATAGTAACGCACATAAACATCGCGCAGACACATAACCCGAGTTTCGCATACATGGGATCGAGGGAGGCTGCATGTTTTCGTAATTCCACCGGTGGATGCCGTTAGGAAACACCGTACAGAATAACCTAACATACATGTTGGAATATAGAATGGACTTAGAGAGGAGTAACTGCACGATAACCTGACTTAGGGCTGGACGAAGAGTATGAATTTTCACTGAGATGTACACCAGAATCGACATGGAGCGCACGGTATCGCGATCTCCCGGACATATCCATTCAAACCGATGATATGAATAGGCGGAAGTAGAGATGACAAACATAGTCGGTATAAATCACAACTACATGGACATACAGCCACTCGTGTCCGCGAGCCCAATGTACGTGCCATCCTTTTTCCCCCCCATGAATTGCGAAATTTCAAACTCTCTTTGTAACTGAAAAAAAAAACTTTTCCACGCAAAGAGAGACCATTTATGCATCCCGGTGCCTCTATTCGTTCTATGTTTTTAATATTTCTCTCCCTTCACGGTCGTTTTCCTTTCATAAGACTGCAAGATTTTTCTAGCCGGAAGATGAAAAGCCTCGAGAGTACAACGAAAAAAATGTTTTTGACGTGTAAATTTTTTTTTCACCCCCCTTTTTTTACTCATTATGTTTCGAATTTTTTTTCCACCGTGCATTCATGAGCTTGTTTGATAAACTCGAGAATTATAGCGATTACTATTCTCAACTAGACGTAAAAATTAAGTGCTTTGTTGTGGGGAAAATTGCAGCGTTGAAAATATATATATATTTTTTTAAACCAAAGTTAAAATTGCTGCTGAGCCTCCGCAGAGGCATCTAACCAGCTCGTTAAACTGTGTATTCAAAGGGGAAGATTTTACATCAGCGATAGTGGGACTCCCAGTGTCTTCAGACAGTACAGAAACTAGAATACTTGGTCGGAAATGGGAAATGTTGATGATATAAATCACAATGAACGTGTGCATGCGCGCTTATGGGAGAGGAAAGGCAGCAGCGCCTCTGTCGGTGGCGTCCCTGAACTACGACCGTAAAGAACTGGTATATTTCCACCTGATTTAGATGTTTCTAAACAGACATTTAGTGACAATTTGGCGGATACACTCGCAGGAATCCAATGAATCAGGTCATATAGAGGTCTTAAAAAGATCATGGTCAATCGCAACGGAAGTTCCACCTAAATGACATGATCTACCAGAATTCCCTTCCGAAGTGACCCAGACCAAATGCACATTCAATGTTTTTAACTCTCCAGAAAAATAAATGTCGAACTGGAGAAAGCTTTCTGAAGTCATTCCCTGATACAGGAGGTTTTCTCCACCATGCACGTACAGCAAACGGGATTCCGAGGGGGTCGTCAGGAATCCCGTTATACCCCCGGTCGTATACCTAGATGGTTGCATGAAACGAGCCATCCAGGAGTTTGGAAAACGTGTATATACGATGGCCCATACTATGGCCATCCATCTTTAAGGCGCGCCATCGCTTTATTACTGGCGACGCCCGCGTGCTAGAAGTTGGTCGACGGCAGCCCCCAGCCTCTCAGCAGTTGCACAGCAGCCAAAAGTGATAGAGACAGGGAGGAAAAAAGAGACGGGGATGCCGGTGTAAGAGTCAAGGGGACAGACCCGGGGTTGCACACCCAGGGAGATAAAGGATTTGTAACAATGGCGTCTTGGGGATAGCGAGTGGTCGACTGGGGAGTAAGGACCATCTCATGAAAGGAAAGGACGCGGATCGATTCGCCCGGCGATGTCTCTCTCATGAGATTCAACTCTGTTACACTGAATCTATTTCCAGGAATGATGTCAACTCGGGAAATGGCCAGTCAATGCCTTTGACCAATGGCCTATTACCCGAGTCTATGGACAGGATGAGATGAATTTTGAGGGTTAGATAGGTTCAGTCAAGAACATTGCTTTTCGGTGATGCATGACTCGTACGTTGAATCATTTGGGAGAATGGAATTGTCTGATGGCGATCGAGATTGCAGATTGTGATAGGTGGAATTGGTAATCATTCCCGGTGAATTGTGGTTATAATTCAGGGACTTTCTGATTTGATTTGATGATATCTTGGATGGCCGCTGGCGATGAGCTAAGGACGATTATTCGAGATATCTTTTCTGCGCAATTCTGAGTGCTTGTGGCTTTTGGTTAGGAACTATGGACGCAAGTTATGAGGGAAGTGACCGTGTGGTTTGCAACTTCAGCCGGCAGTTAACGTCATCGATGACGAACACAGATGTTCAGCAGCAGCTGATGATTTGAATAGGTTGAAGACTGGGAGCGATGTTATTAGGAAGAAATGATCAAAAGGAACTTTCCTTTCTACCCTGACATATGATCTTTAAGAATATTACATTGAAGCAAGACCTCTTTTTATTTGATTTGTTGATGTCTTTGACGGCCTCCGAGGAATAACTGTAGACGATTATTCGAGATGCCTTTGCTGCGTCATTCTGTTGTTCGGAGTGCTGGTGGCTTTGGGTTAGAAACTATGAACACAAGTTCTAGGGGAAGTTAGCCATGTGGTTTGCAACTTCAAGCAGCAGGTAACATCATCAATGACGAATACAGATGTTCAGCAGCAGCTGATAATTTAGAGAGATTGAAGACTGGGATCGATGTTATTAGAAAGAAATGACCAAAAGGAACTTCATCCGACATCTCCCTATTCATTGCCTCCCTTCTACTCTGACATATGATCTTTAAGAGTATTACATTGAAGCAAGAAGACACAAAACGAAATGAACATGATGGTTGAATGAAAGACCCAAAGCTTTGTCGACGATTGCTGAATCAGCAGGTTTCCCAGAAGAAAGAACCGGGATACAGTTGCAAAAAAACGCCAGAACGAGACTAGAACAATCAGACGGAGGAGAAAAAAATAAACAGACGAGGGGTCACGTAGACAGGATGGTGAGCAGTAGAGAACAGAGGGTGCTCCGAACGTGAAAGATTAAGGAAAAGGGTAAGAGTTGAGGGGATCTGGCATGACAAAAAGAGGAATACGTGTGAAACGAAAGGCTGGAGGGTGTAAGAAAAGTCAACCCGAGGGGTGAAGCAAAAAAGTCAGGGTTGATGAGGGGACAAGGAGGAATTGAAGAAAAAAGATGTTGAGTGAGTGGTAGAAACCTCTACGTTTTCAAGAAACAAGATGTGCATATTGGAGGGATGGGGATGGAGGAGAGAAGTGGTGAGTGTGAGTGGTGCATGAAACTGGGATGTGCAGCCAGAATATTCTAGGTCACATAACCTCTGCGAATTTCTAACCTCTCTGCTCCGGATCTCATTCAACATCATCACTGATGCGATTGGTGTCAATCAATTGGGAAGTCATCATGGTGAAGTTTGATGGGGAGCTATGTAAACACGTTGGTTAATTACGAATGAACTAGGGAAAAGTGGAGTGGAAGGGACCATTCAATATCTCGAGAACGGCAGAGTGAAATCCCGCATTTTTTTTTTTCATTTTCAAGATATTTTCTCAAGCTTGGAAATGAACCAAATGAAGCAAGTTGCATCATTTGGTCAGAAAATATTGACGATTTGAGCCATTCCATCCTACCCCAAATACACGTAAGGGATTGTTTTCTGTTCAATTATGATAGCCACGAATTAACAATTCTGCCGTTTGTATAACCAATAATGATCTTCAATGCCCAGTAATTATGAGAATGAAAATCGAAAACGATTATAAATTCGGCCCTCACGTACATGAACATCCGCACAGCTCTCAAAATGCTTATCGTATTCCAGCAGAGAGGACAAACAATTTCCCTCGAAACAACGTGGTTGCCACTCGTATACCAAAGGGACGTCAAGCCCAGTGACCTCTCCCCCTCTCACTTCGGAGAACCCTCTCGCTCTCTCCCCCAAGGCTAGGGTACCTTACTCCCATACTAGCAAAATGTAAAGTTAAAATATGCGGAGAACGTTGGTACGTGCGAGGGAATCTCGTTACTCCATTATCACCGGATTACCACACCTGCAGCTCACGTACCAGATCGTGGACCGATCCACTGTCAGTATCCCATACATATACAACCACTTTCATCGCATTCTCATGGCTCGAAACTATTAGATTTGAGTATCCAATCACGGATTACAGATTGAATCCCGCCGATTAAAAATATTTCCCGAACAGCTGATAATTAGTTGTAATTATTGCGGGGCCTCGGGAGTACAAAAAAAATATTTAAATGCTGGGATTTCATTGTGGGATGCAAAAATCTGAAAGATGGCTCGAAAAATTTGTTCCTTTTCGAGGAACTGGAGGACGCGAGTTGAAGGTGAATTGAAGAGGATAAATGGTTCAAAGATATTATCAAAAACACGAGGTGGACAGCTGTGCGCGCCACCATCTTGGCGAGGCTTCTTCCCGCCGTCGCAAGGAGCTTCAAAATGGTCGCGCCTCCACCTCGAGTTTTCGAACATGCCTTAAAATTATTTATCTTCATCAGATCAATCTCAATTCACTCCATCCAAATTCTATAAATGGAACAAATTTTTTGCAAAGTTTTCCCCGCATTTCAGGATCTTTTTTACTCTCGGGGCCTCTCAATGTATTCCCAATAATGGATTTTGTTCTATTTATATATTAATCGAATGAAATAAATAATCAAATGAAATAAATAATAAATACACAATGAACATTTACAAATATTTCCCTGAATATAATGCCGCGAGGATATTTTGTATCCGAATGAAACCCAATCATCCATGAACACTAAAAAAAAAACACTCTATAATCCCCATTGAGCATAGAATTTGATTCCAGTGGTACATAAGTGATGGTGGCTCATGCATGGGGGAGTTCGGTGGAAATGAAACGGGTGTGGACCACTAAAAACAGGAAAGGTGGGGAGTGTCGGGTTGCTATCGTTTTTCAACGCCACTGGAGCGCTGTGGAAACCGACACACATATCGCTTTGTGCAATATACTATTGCGAAATATATATGGGACCACGCGGGGGGTGGGGGCGGAGGGGGAAGAGTAAAAGTGTGCGCGGCCTACGAGTGCTCTTGCAGTATGCTCAATAACACTGCAGAATGCTATATGCGCACGCGTAAGAACTGTTTGCATCATTAAGATGGGAGAACAATTATTTTTCCGTTATGCCGGCAAAAGAAAAACTCTTTGTTGACAATTATTTTGATCATGCATTAATTATTTGACATTATGAGTTTGATTTATTGCTTCTGAATGGAAACATTGTAGTCGTTCAAATTTCAGTTCCGGATTTTTTGCGCTGTATCAACCTATTATATGGGATTTTTTATTTTTATTTAATTGATCGCGAATAAATCGATGGAATTAAAATTTCATTCATATTCGATGTTTTGGAATTTTTGAATTAAAAAAAATCGGTTGGCCCACCATAACTATACTATATTAATATACAAGCAATTTCCCACTTGTTATTGTTAATTATTATTAAAGATCTGCGAAAAAAATTGACCAAGTTTAAATGTTCCATTAGGAATTAATTCCAGCTAAGATGAAATAAAAAATGAAAAATATAAAAATAAAATCCCACGCATGTCAGTGGCCCATTCCATCCTGACATCTTCAATAAATTAAGAATTCACCCCAATTACCAGCGCTCATAAATCGCTCACATGCCCTCACCCGCGAGCTATTCATGCCCCCCCCCTCTAAATAAAAAAATTCCACCTCCTCATCACCAGCAGGAAATCATAAAGGAAATTCCACACATTTCGAAATATGATAAAACCGTGCGGGCTCGACATCCATATCATTACCGGCTTCCCGCAGTAAAATTCCGTGCGTACCGTGTAAAATTCAAAACTGAAAAAAATAAGAAAAATGAGCAACACATTCGCCAGTGGAAAACGTCGGGGCGAATGATGCGCCGAGCCCCCTCCCCCAACCCGCAAGTATTCAACTGCCGCTGTCATTACGATTTCCGCGCTCTCATCGTTGAAACGATTTTCACCATATCACCCCATCTCTGGGGGTGCGCGATCTCGCCGCGACTGTTTCTATCCACGTTTTTGCGTGTGTTCTCTCTACCCTCTTCCATCTTCTTAGCGCCATTGTCCGTTTTTTCCGTCTGCATTCACTTTTCCACGTGCACGTAAGGAAAAAACCGGGGCGGGTAGTGAGGAGTGAATAAAAGAATGAAGAGAGAAATAACGGAATCAAGGAGGTTCCGAGGATTCTCACACCGCCCTACTCTCCTCGAGTAGCTCCAAGCCATCGTATTTTTCTCCTCTCAGTTTTACATAATGTATAAGTACGGAGAGTGCAGGGAGTATATTCTGTGGGTGGGTAATGAGGGCCACCCAGAGGGGTAGTGGATTGTAACCAGACGAGGCGGGAGGATGGAGTTTGACGGTGAATGGGAGAGAATAAGGAAATGGGCAGATACTTTGATGGTGAAAAAAGACTGGGGGAATGTTGCACATTTCAGGTGAAATTTGCCCGAGTGGATTGGATTTTGAGGGGAGTAGGGCGAGGCGAGCGGTCGGGTTAAGGAACTTATTAAAGGATATGAGAATTTTCCTCCCGGATAATTGAATTGGCGACATTTTGGCTAATTGTTTTTTTCACGAGAATGTGAGGGTAAAATTATAAAATTGCACTCACTTGTTGTAAAGAACAATATCGGGCAGCCAAATGTGTTCAGATGGCACGTGAATAGTGTCCACCCCGCCGTACTCCTCTGGATTCCACTTGAGCTTGTAGTCATCCCACTCCTGAAACAAAGGATCAATGGAGATGAACGAAATTGGGGCTGACGCGCGCAGAAATCGCAATGAGAAACAATTAATCAACATCCCTTCTGGGGAGGGCTTAGGCTATCAGGGGGGATCCACTGGGTTTTATTATTCTCCCTTTGGTGGTTCATTTGTGGCCTCTAATCGCGTGCCTTGCCACCAACATTCCAGCCTCAATCCCGGAACCTTTTGGAGCGTTCGTTTATTTCACTTAGTCATTGACATGATTTTCGCTTTTGCGAAACACTTTTCGGCTTTTTTATGGGACTTTTGGGGATAGCCAAGTAGCTTTTACTGTTTGGTGCAGACTATTTTCAATTATTGAATTTGCCAATTAAATTTTTTATAAATAAATAATTCAGTAGCGAAGTGGCAAAACGGTTCAAATTGACTCATTTTTCAGTTGAGTTTTTGAAGAATATCTCTGAATCTAAAGGAGATGATGGAATTTTTGTAATGACCTCTTTTGTAGAGAAAATTGAGTGCTACAAAACAGGTCTTCACAAAAATTTTGCTATCTCCCTTAGATTCCGAGATATTCAGTAAAAACTGGCCAATAATCAAAATCGACTTAAATACTGAATTGAAATTATGAAAACTTTTGGAAATCTTATTTTGAGAGGCATGAAATCTGAATTGTATTTAAAAATCATAATGAGGGGAATCAGCACGGGTGATGGGAGAGATTCGTTCGAGAGCACAAAATACTGCTCCGATTTCCTATTGTGAAAGGTTGCAACAACCCGTCCGATGCAGCGATGCATGCTGACAAACCGAAGAGCCCTAGTGAATGCACGCGGTGCCTGGTCTTGAATACCCGTCAGCTTTGGAAAGCCAGTGATTCTGTTTTTCAGGGTCATAAGGTCCGCAGTCATGGATAATATATTTTTCATCAAGATTTTTGGTCGCAAAATTCCCTCCCAAATTCTGCTTCACGAGCACTTTTTTAACGTCATGAAGATTATCAGTGCAAAAATGATTTTCTCTAAAAAAATTTGAATGATGTGTTTGGAAAAGCGAGTGAGGTATTCTAAGGTGAAACAAAAAAATCCTCGAGTAAGCGATTTGATCGTCCAGAATGCAAATTTTGAGACACAAACCTCTTAAAAAAAGGACAAAACTGTCTCCCTCTCAAACACTAGTTTTTAATTTTAAAATTTAAGTTTTAAATTTTGAAGTTTCAGAAAACACTGAAATTTCAGGAAATTATTTCATTGAAAAATCAAATATTCCATTGATTTTCTGTTCAAAGGATCTGGAAATCAATGAAATACTTGATCTCTCAGTTCAATTATTCTGTGAAAATTCAGAAAAATCAGGAAAATTCAGGGAAAAATTTAAAATTCACGTCATTTTGTTTCTGAATATACATGTTCCACTGAAAATTCAATTTTTAATTTTTTTCCCCTAAATCTGATTCAATGTCACTCTCATGAGATTCACAATAAAATCTATGAAATTTCAAAAAATGTCCCGCAGTGTACGGAGCTCTCACCCTAGAAGAAACGCATCTAATAATTTTTTCCAAAACCACACACATCTCGCATCCAATACAAACACTCCTCCATTTTCTCTATTTCCCCGCTGCATTCCTCTCGGTTTAGTTCCACTTTCAGCGCGGTAGACTCACTGAGTAATGGTGCCTCTCCACCATGAAAATCCAGAGAATGAAAAGTCCTCGAGAATCGCGCAATTGCACGGATTTTTTTCTCCATACTTCCGCCTTTCTCCATTATAGTACATTTTTTTTCCCCTCCTGTTTTGTTTCAAAACTGCAAGGATTTTCATGAAATTCCGTCCAAAGGTTGAACCTTGCGCCAGATCGCACGCGATTAAACAGAATTTGCAATTCAATTCTTTTTTTCCGCTGTGTTCTGTTTTTCAGCTTGAAAAGAGGAATAAATTACATGTTTCATTATTATTCGCTGGCTGACATGGGCATTGTGAATCAGAATCGATTGTGAACTGTCGAATGGAGAATTGGGGATTGGGGGGATATTGGTAATACTGGAATGCCAGTGGATTTCACGGGGTTGGAAATTTAATTTACGTGTGGATTCAATTTTTCGGAAAATGAGCATACATGTGTTACGTACAAGCTTTCACACCATGCAAGTGGAATGAAATTTGTGAGCGGATTGACATCACGCATCGATTCGTTTTTGCGTGGAGAGCGGAGAAGAAGGGGGAGACCGAGGAAGATTCATTGGTGAAACGTTTATACTCGTGTACTTTCACCAATGTCAACGCTGCTATTTTCGCGTCAGTAACGAGGGAAATAAATATTTACTGGATATTTTTTGCGCCGGGGTTTATCGTGTTNGAAATACTTGATCTCTCAGTTCAATTATTCTGTGAAAATTCAGAAAAATCAGGAAAATTCAGGGAAAAATTTAAAATTCACGTCATTTTGTTTCTGAATATACATGTTCCACTGAAAATTCAATTTTTAATTTTTTTCCCCTAAATCTGATTCAATGTCACTCTCATGAGATTCACAATAAAATCTATGAAATTTCAAAAAATGTCCCGCAGTGTACGGAGCTCTCACCCTAGAAGAAACGCATCTAATAATTTTTTCCAAAACCACACACATCTCGCATCCAATACAAACACTCCTCCATTTTCTCTATTTCCCCGCTGCATTCCTCTCGGTTTAGTTCCACTTTCAGCGCGGTAGACTCACTGAGTAATGGTGCCTCTCCACCATGAAAATCCAGAGAATGAAAAGTCCTCGAGAATCGCGCAATTGCACGGATTTTTTTCTCCATACTTCCGCCTTTCTCCATTATAGTACATTTTTTTTCCCCTCCTGTTTTGTTTCAAAACTGCAAGGATTTTCATGAAATTCCGTCCAAAGGTTGAACCTTGCGCCAGATCGCACGCGATTAAACAGAATTTGCAATTCAATTCTTTTTTTCCGCTGTGTTCTGTTTTTCAGCTTGAAAAGAGGAATAAATTACATGTTTCATTATTATTCGCTGGCTGACATGGGCATTGTGAATCAGAATCGATTGTGAACTGTCGAATGGAGAATTGGGGATTGGGGGGATATTGGTAATACTGGAATGCCAGTGGATTTCACGGGGTTGGAAATTTAATTTACGTGTGGATTCAATTTTTCGGAAAATGAGCATACATGTGTTACGTACAAGCTTTCACACCATGCAAGTGGAATGAAATTTGTGAGCGGATTGACATCACGCATCGATTCGTTTTTGCGTGGAGAGCGGAGAAGAAGGGGGAGACCGAGGAAGATTCATTGGTGAAACGTTTATACTCGTGTACTTTCACCAATGTCAACGCTGCTATTTTCGCGTCAGTAACGAGGGAAATAAATATTTACTGGATATTTTTTGCGCCGGGGTTTATCGTGTTGTATGGATAACTGCAACTCAATCAAAATGATAAATTTCAATGTTTCTAAAAATTCAAGTGTTTTATTTTTTCATTCGATTGATTCGTGTCTGTGGAGGGCTCCTGACCACATGGGACATGATATATTTGCACAGGATTCTATTGCATTTAGATTTTTTCATTGAATTTTTTTTTGAACAAATTGTGGAAAAATCTTTTAGTGAAATTGAAATGGAAAAAATTAACAATTCGATTTGTTCCTCTATTTTTTCATGTCATAGTACTGTCATCAATTGAAATGTCATGAAAATTTTCTACATTCAGACCCGCTCAAGACTCGAATTCGTTTTCAGTAAAGTGACATTTTTCAATTTTTCAATCAAGCAAAAATTATAATCTCGTTTCACTGAAAAATATTTAATGTATTTCCAATACATCTCCACCTTTTTTAATCCCCCACAAAAAAAACACAATTGGAAATCCGAGATCCATCCCAGCAAACGCTTTTGTTCCGTTTCAACAGAGAGGATCATGAAAATTTAATAAGAAACTACAGTATCCTGAAGTAAAAAAAAACTCGGTAATAATCTTCAAGAGCTATCGCCGTACCTTCCCCCAGATTAATTTCACTTATGTAGGAAAATAAAACCCTCGGGGAAGTAATTTTTTTTTACCAAATAACCTTGATTGTTTCTCCTTTAACCGAGACAAATTGTTGCCCGGAGGTCTCGGCAAAATTCAACCCAGCGAAATGAGAATAAGCGGCTTCTCCTGGTCTCAGTTGTCTCTTGTGCCACCAGAGGGACACGCGGAGGCATTCATTGACCAATCAAGTCGCACCGGTGGAGCTTTCAGCGCAAACATTGACTTCGGAACAATTGAGCTTTCTTTATCTCTCCGGCAAACAAATAAGTTCACGTGAACTTTTTCCCCATAAACTTGATGAAACTCTTAATTTTCTTAATGTTTAGCGTCAATTCTTTTGGTTAAATGAATAAATTAATGTTGTTAATTATATTATATTTTTCTTCACCCAGAAAAAGCTTTTTATTAATCAAATAAAAATCTTCATTTTAAATATTTTCATTATTTCAAGAATATTTTCTTACAAATAAATAAATTTGTTTACTGGTTTAAAAAAAAAGATTAAACTATATTCAACAAACAATTTATTCATTTCAAATAAAGAAATGTTATTAATTAAAAAAAACAGTTTATTTGGGATAAATAAAAAATTTATTTGATTCGAATAAATCATTTTTCTGGGCGTTTGCTTAAATAAATGAATCAAGTTCAATAATTAATAAACAAATGGCATTGCCCATTTATGTGAGAGAAGATTGGTTCGTGCAAAAAACAAATGTGATATATTCTCTTGTAAAATATTTACTCCTCAATAAACAGATCAATGTTCCATAATTAATAACATTATTCATGTGTTTTGAAATACATTTTTTATAAATTGACTTCTGAAAATTATATGATATGTTCCATTCGGTCAGAACTCATGCCTCCATTATTAATATGGAACGAGAGCTATCAACATGGGCTGATGTAACCTGCACCCTAACTACTTGTTTCTTGGGATACATCTCCCCCAGCAGATCCCATACATTCGTGACGTTCATTATCTTCTCACTCTATATTAGGACTACTAATTGATTAATGAGCACTTCGTGACATGTCTACAGATGAAGCACTCGTTAATAGAGTATGAGTGACTATTTTTCCCATAACCATTTCGACCAGTGGAATTTCAGTATTCGACGGCACGTGGACAATCAACAGAGGATAGTTCAGCAAAAGTGATCGATCATTCTGGACCCCTCGAGGTATTACTCCGGACTAATGTTGCATTTCTGCGCAGAAATTGAGCGAAAAATGACGGAGGAATCTAGACAAAATTAAGGGGAAGATTTGGAATTTCATTATATAACGAGATATGTAATATGAAGTCGTCCTGGCCTAAATATGCGCGCAAAATACATTAAATCCATGAAGAATATATCTCTCAATACATCGTCAACTATTTACAAACACGCATCCACTCCCACGACCCCATTCATCCCCCCTAAATATCCCCTTCAACGGACATTAGCGCAGTCCATAATTCCGGAAATAGTAGTAATTGAGATTAACGTGGAAATGAATGAGAGGATACTGAAAAAAATAGTCCATGTATCCGAGTACTTTTCTTCTGGTTACTTTCATCTTGACCCCAACTGCAGTTTCACCCCCTCCCCTAACGCGGAAGGAGCTCTCTTTTCTCTATCCCCTATTCAACCCAGCTCTCTCCGAGGCGATAGAAAATTCTCCGCTCCATTGGCCTTATTTTTACTCTCTCCCTATTTTCCCTTTTGTCCTGACCGCACCCTAGTTTTTACGTTGCCATTATACCATTATCGAATTATTCATCCTCGGGAGAAATTAAAGGTTGGGAAAAATGTTTTTTTTTTCCCTTGGCCTCTGGGGAATCTCCCTTCACTACCACAATTTATGTATGTTGGTTTAGAAATTCGTGTACATTCAATTCACATGGGGCGGAATAGATATTGGAAATGAGTAAATTTTATGTATTCGTATGCAGAACTCATAGATTGAAAGTAAAAATGAAAATAAAAATGGAAATAAAAATGAAAATAAAAACAAAGCCATAAAATATCATCAAGTGAAAATATTCGACATTCACTGTTTAAAATCACGAATTCAATGAACCACAGAAAAAAAAATATCCGTAACTTCCCTAAATCTCGGAAGTTGAAAGAAAATCGTACAAACGCAAAGTTTTCTGGACATCCGCCAACTCCCTGCCAAACGCTGAATTTCCCTCCCCTTCCCCCCCCCCCCCCCCACCCCCTCCCGAAAATATATACTTCCCAAGACGAGTAGACCGCTGATTGTGGTGAATACTGAATACCAAAGTTAATCCAACGTAGACAATGCCCAAGAGACCAACGACTGTTTTACAATTAAAGTATTCCCCCGAGGTTTTTCCACCGAGATTTCTTACCCCTCTTTACTCACTCCTCTCATCTTCATTTTCACCATCTAACCTCCTTCGTCAATAATGTTTTTGTAGGCTACAGACTTCCTCAGTTTTTTACCCACTTCATCCGGTGCACCTGGTGCCATGTTTTTCCTCAGCTTTTTTTTTCCGTTCTCTAGTTTTTTTACCCCGGGACGGAGGGTAACTCAAAGTAATTTCTATTATCATGAGAAAGAGTGAAAATAGAGGATTATGAGGGCTTTTTGTGAAAACTCTTTATGCAGAATATTATGAATGAGAATCTTATAATTCAATGGGGTTATTCCCGTGAAAGATAAGGGGTTTGTGAGGGGATGAGAATATACGAGATAGATTATCAGTGTGAGGGTTACACGAAGGTCATATGAGGGTTTTATGAGAGCCAGAAAGGTCATGAGGGCCGGAATTTTCATGTGGCTGATGAGGGTCAGGATCATTTGGAGGTCATTTGAGGGTTATATGAAGGCCACATGTCGGCCTGATGAGGGCCTTCTGAGGGTCATATGAAGATCATGGTTTTGTAAGGGTCAGAAAGGTCATATTGGCCAGAAAGTTTATGTTGCTCATGAGGGTCCGGATCATATGAAGGTCATTTGAGGGTCATGTCAGGGTTATAGGAAAGTCGTGAGGCTGATGAGGGCCTTCTAAGGGTCATATGAGGGTTTTATAAGGGTCAGCAAGGTCATAAGGGCCAGAAACTATTTGGCTTATAAGAGTCAGGATCGCGTGGATGTCATATAAGGGCCACATGGGGGTCACATGAGGGTCATATGAGGGTCATTCAAGGGCCATATGTAGATCTATTATATGAAATCATATCCGAAATTTCGTGGTAATTGAATGGTCAACGTAAACGTCACCAAAACAATATTTTTTCTTAATCTGAAAAACCGAGTTGATCACTCAATTAACTGAAATTTGATGGGAACGCCTATCCTTATATATCTTGAATAATTATATCGAACGTTATACGTGGGCCATCAATGAGTTTAGCCGTCATCATCGATCCCAAACCGCTGCAATCGAAAATTGTTATTGGAGCGAGTTGCCCCGGGGCGCACCAAGTAATTAATGATTTCATTACCTCGAGAGAAAATAGGACAACACAACTAGATAAAAATTAAAAAATCGAACATTTGGAGCATTGGAAGCAATGAATTTCGGAATCATGTTATGTGCGAGTCGTATATGAATGAAGTTGATGGGTCATTACGAAATGAAATTTGAAACGAAAACAAATTGTGATATTGAGCGATAGGAGGGTAATGTGGCCCTCATGCGATCCTTGAATAAATAATCACTCATTTCTACTGCTGACTTTCCTCCTGTTTTCGTTTCATCTCCAACTGTGAAATTCAACGTTCGGTACGTGCCTCTTGACGTGACCGTTCTCAGAACTCCGGAAGAATAGTGCAAATAAACATATTCAAGTGGGATCTCGGGGTGCCTTTTTCCTCTCATCCCTTGATATCCGTTCGCCCTACATTCTCTTCCCTCTTCTCAACATTCGACACTCACACGGAGCAGAATTTCAAACATATACGATATTTTTATAGCAATCCATACATGGGAAATTCATGCCATGATATAGGAAATCGACCCACCCTCGTTGGGAGTTATATATTCATTTTCATTTTTCATGCGAGATCCAATGCAATTATTTACACATTTTCTTGAAAATAAAACAGATGCAGTTTTGTTCACTAATTACTCACTCACCTGTTCTACCCACACATTCGTCGTCATGATCTGATTTTTCAGGTTCTGAAACAAAAATCAGAAGTATCGAATTCGTTAATCAACGTCAAAAGAATGCTTTTCTTTTTTATTCTGTCAAAAAATATTCGTGGTTTTTCACCGAAATACCACAAGCGGGTGGTCTGGGCTATTGGAAAGTGAATGGTAAAAAAATTGGCGAAGAAATTATCTGAAAATGATCCTGGACCATTCCTGATCATCTAAGAAACTAGAATTCCCGATGCATGTTCTGGATCGTTCACATCCTGTCAGTAAAATACACCTTCCGTTCCATAAATTTTCCCACTACTGACTCACCGCATTATTGATCTCAATTCCTCTAAAGTGATGTAATTCATAATGTATTCATTTTGTACGCCACTGAAAGTATTAAGTGCTTTTCTTCTGAAAATAGATAGAGAGGGTATAAGAAAATATTGACTGGGAAGTGTAACAAACTCAAGACTCGATAAAAGCACTTTTCGATGTCGCGAAGCCTCCATTATCTGGCTCGGGGAGAAATAGAACATAAAACAAAGAAAAAACAGCCGGGAAGAGACTGCCCGAAGGCAGGTGCTGGGTCGAAACAAGGAAGGATGTTTTTCTCAAGCCCCTCATATTCTGAATTCTTTCATGGTTGCGATAACGAATTGTTACCTCATCTCTCTTCGGGGTAAATTACAGGGGAAAGTCGTTTGGGAGGGCATAGTGGCCCTTGAGGGAGTTGTGAATCTGTTTTCTTATTGTCAGGGAATTTCACTCGAATTTCTGTGGAGCGAGATCATGACGGGAAATTTCTCACAATGATCAGTGACGCTTTCTGAACAGCAGGCGAAAAACTTGAAGGCTCTATCCCGAAAATGTTTAAAGCCCTGTCCCAATCACTTGGAAATTTTCCCCCAACAGCTTAAGAAAGTGCTCTCCATCTTCTCTCCGTACATGCTAACCATTTTCGAAAAAATATGAGGTGAAATGTTTTCCAGCTTAACTGCATTTCCGACGCTCAACGAGGTAGTCGGAGTCTCAGGTAAAGATACTTTCCTCTCGAGTAGATAGTCAAGAAGAGAGAGAACACCAAACGACTCAGGATAAGATGCGAAGGCGGTGATGATAACCGCACAAATTCGATATACATATATTTCGTCACTCCACATCGCAACAGCGGGACGGCCTCGCTATCTTCGCTCTTCCTTCCCGATGACTCATACCATGTTTCGCTTCGTCCTTCGCATTGCGACACCTTCTGGTGATAGTGCGGAGGAGTATTCTTGTCAGGATGACTTATCTTCTCGTTGTTGGGCCTGTCACGGACTCTGCGGTTGATTATCATGTTTTTTTTTCGAGAAAAATAGTTTGGAGAATGTTCGAGTCAGTTGCCACTCAAGACGACTCATAGAATGATAAAGTCATCAAATCTCTTCTTTAAAAAATCATTTCTTTAATGGGGAGGAAGGGTTTCTTTCTCTTTACGTGATCATTATTTCTGGCGACGCCGTCTCGTTATAGCACACTTCAGTGCTTCATGCCAAGCAATACGATGACATCTTTCTCTTCTGGACATCACCTGTCGGAGCAGATCACCGTCAGAACAGTTTTGGAGGTCACCTTTTGTCACTGATTACCTAGTAAACCAGAGCCCGCAACATTTGCTGCTGTCAAAAACAAAAATATGAAATCCATTGGGAGGACGAAGTCGTTCACCTAGCAAAAAATATTGAAGAATTCTCCTAAAATTTGGATTTCGACGCAAAATATTTCGATAGTTACCAGCCCCGCATCGTTAAATTAATTTAGAATTCCCGCCAGAAGCTTGATTACATCAACATGGACGGTAGCTCCGAATGTGTGTACAAATATAGAAATACCACAGTGAACACTCGAAAGACTCACCAACAGTGAATGTATTTATATGAATGGGAGATCTGGTATTAACAGTTAGCTGCTTCATTCCCATGAGCTCAAACATACAAATTCATACGCACCCACACAAACAGGACAATTTACCGATGCTGAAATGAGTCCTGAAATTGTCGAGAGTTTGAAGGAACAAATTGAAACATTCTCAGCTGTTATCCACGAGAATTGCACGATTGTGAATATTCTCCAGGCATTTGTATTGCGGGTGAGGGAGGTACTAACCAGTGGCTGAGTACAAACGGTCGTTTCCACTAATCCCTGGAAGATGCTACGAGGGTGTAACGCCTGGGCCTTAATGAATTTCAACGCCTGGTGGTGCGTTTGAGGCGGCTAATGCATTACGGTGTGGCCTTTGTAGAACTTGAGGTGGAAAACGGCGACGTAAATTGTGAGTTATTAGCCATTAAGTTGAGTGATGCTTGTGCGGTCTTATGGTATTAATTATTGGCGTTTAATTCTCGCCTGGAAAATTGTGCAAATTTTTTTGTTATTCATGCATTAATTCATCTCATCAATTTTTTACACTGGAAAAATCCACAAAAAATATAGACGTCTAAACCTTTCATCAGGTTAAATTTTCAATAATTCAAACCAATCCTGCCCTCATGTTCTATATCAAGTTCTACAATTCGCTGAATTATTGAGTCGAGTTTGCAAAATCCTGATATGACGCTAAAACAAAAGAGAGAGAGAGAGCGAGGGAATGACAAACAGAGACGGCATCACTTCACACGTAGTCGTAGGTATATTCACAGTGGCTCTGGGCCAACCTATAGAGTACTCTCGCTCGTTGTGGTGAGAGAGATCCGATCACTCGGGAGGCCAACTTTGATGGGTGGCTTAACGATGCGCCGCGAGGGACCCTCGATACGTCTACTAACACTGGGGCAAACCACCACCCGCAGATACATCGAGTACCTGTTCGACAATGCACACGAGAAACTTGGATTGAAATTCCCAGATTATTACGAAGTAATATGAATTTTTATTCAGTAAATTTTGATTGAGTCAGCCAATGCTGTGCGCCGATCTGGCGGGTGTGTTCCTTGGATTATAGTGGATTCATCAGGCTGCATTGTCAGAGATATCGAGTGCAATGTGTATGAATTTGCCTCAATAATGTTGCCTCTCAAATTGAAGGATATTGTTTCGTCCGGTATGCCTGCAATTTCATCAAACTCTCTTCATAAACCAAGAGCCTTTTCCTTCATATTAGCTTTAAACCTTCATCACGGTAATGAAAAATGTCCCCCAGATATGAAATTTCACGTAATGAAAAGTTGATAACACTCTTGAGATTAAAAATCTATGAAAAAGTGACTGAAACCACACACCCGGAGGATTAGCGAGAAAAAAATATATACAGACCAGAGAGAAGAAACATGAGTTCATGAAAAAGTCATGGAGTCCCTCGGGTTAGTTTTTGAAGTGACACGTAGACTAGAATCTTCAAAAGTGCGCGAGCTCGTGGAGACGTTGATAATGAAAAAAACTGGCTGAAGAAGGCTACTGGATTGCTGAATAAACACACAGGCCACGAGTGAAGAGGAGAAGTAGATGGAGAAAGGTGGAGGAGAACAGCTGAGAGAGTATGAGATGCATGCCGTAGGGAGAAAAGAGACAGCCAAATTAGAGTGAAGAAAGAGGGAATTGTGAGTGGTAGAGGAGGATCTCACTTTGACGCATCAAGCGTAAAATCTGTGCCGCAGGCGGATGACCCGCACTCTCAGCCAACTCGGACAATGGATGAGATGGAGACTCTCCTCCAGGTGTTGGCCCAGAAACTTTGTAGGATGTGCAAGGTCTTCTTGCCATTAATGGCATTTCCTTTTGCTGGTTTATGCTGGTTGAATCTTTCGTTGCGTGAACGGAGATAGATCAATTAATGAGTTGTGCTGGTGGGAGGACAGTCCTGCTGTCCTGAACTTGAGACATAGGTATAAAGTTCCAAAAGTCTTTACTCCGTAGGATGGCGCCCTACATATCACAAAAAAAAATTGGTCCCAGATCTTCTGATGCTGTCCCAATTTCTTCTGAAACTCAATCAAGTGCTGCAGCATTCAGGATGTCTTCTATGCTTCTATGAAATCTTCTATGCTTGCTGCAAATACTCCCGAGCACTTAGAACACTGACCTAAACATCCCTGGAACTCTATCAAAGGCTTAAGGTACTTCTCCAGTTGGAATGCTGCCCCAAACAGGTAGCAAACTTCATAACGTGCCTAGAAATCTTCTAGATATTCAGAGAACTTGATCAGTTAAGGACTTCCTTCGGAGCAATTAATTGTGTAATCCATCAAAAAAATGAGGATTAAAAACCTGATGTTAGAATGGCAAATTGAGTCCATCATCGTTATTCATCTGCGATAAATGTCCTAACAATCCGTTAATTACTCATAATATCCGGAATTATATCCTAGGCCGATGACGGAAGTCTTCCCCACGGGAGCCATCATCGTGGAATCGTTCGTGGATAGCAGTTGATAGGGTAATTTCCAGCGCTTCTAAATGAGATGTCCTCTGAAATCTGATACCGGAAAGGAGAAGCAGTGGATAGCAAAAGCGGAAAGAGTCGGAAAAAAATACGCAGAATTAAAAGTGGAGAGGAGGACGGACGGCGCAGATGGAATTGGTAATTACAGCGATCACAGCTCCTCTTCCTCGGTTGGATGGATCTTCGCGGGACTGAGGCTTCGAATTTCAAATGAATAAGGTACGCGCCTAAGACAGAAGATGAAGGATCAGTGGTTGCATACAAGAACGAACGAGATGAGAAGGAATTCAGACAAAAATGAGAACTGGTGTGATTGCGAGGGAGCTATTGGCTGAGAGAACAAAGACAAATCAACCGTCTGATGGTGAAGTAGAAAAGTTTTAATTGCATCAGACGTCAGCACTGAGGATGCGCAGGGCTGTCACCATCTCTTTGATGTTACTTTCACTAATGAGTCTGAAGTAGACGAATAATGAGAACTAAATAAATTATTCCAAAGAAAATTGTAATAATTATTTTAAATGATGGCAATTATAATGAAATGCCATCAGTGTTCTTGGGATTGAGATTAATCTCCTAATCTCAATCTTTTTCATCAGTATTACAGTTGAGGTAA